CAAACCATTCTATGATTCTATGATTCATTAATTCCCACAGATACGACCTGGCAGAGTGTGGATAAATGTGGGTGTACCGAGGCAATAAATAAATAAATAAATAAATAACCAGGGATTGGTGCTCTGTGTGTGAAGGCTTTGCAGAAATAAATAAATACACCGATCCCTCAGGCCATCTCCAATTTCTAAGCTCAACGGAGATAAGCTAATTACGGCACGGCGGCGGCGTTCAACCACATTTGCAGTTAAAGCCCTAACATCTGCAGCCCGGTGTTAACAGGCAGCAACCCCGGTCCTGGAGCAGGGCTGAACTGTTTCAGACTGATTACTCACACGGCTCACGCTGGCTTCCCCGCACACAGCTCCTGGCATGGAGAAATGCACGTCAAGGACACCTCAGCATCTGCTCCGAGGCAGGAGGGAAGCGGCGTGCCAGAGCCCGCTGCTGGTAGCGGGGCTCGTCCCTCCCTCTGCAGCAGGCAGGGGACAACAGCGAAAACCTCTCACACAAAAATAACGGGGACGCACGTGAGAAAAAGAAACGAGGAGAGCAGGTTCTCGGGGAGAGTGGAGGGTCTGAGCTCAGCTGCAAGATGTTGTTAGACTCTTTGGGACTGCTTGGTGATTTGTACTGCTCCCATTTGAAACTTTGCACCCTTTTTCTAAATTTCTAGAGTTAAGGCTATTCAGTTGCTTTTCTCTTCGCTGTGCCTTGTCAAAGACAGCTTGCTGCTTTTCCCCCCCACTCATGCCCTTGGTGATGACACTCCTTTTTTATCACTTACTCCACAAAGTCCTCTTTGCATCGCTGTAGGAGGTCACATGCTTTCCGGATCTCTTGCTCGTTCAGAAGTACCAGCGTCCCAAGAGTCAGGTGAAGCTTTGCAGGGTTCTGGAACAAGCTGCTGCTGACCCCGTGATCCTACAAATCAATCAATCAATCATATATAGGTGTCTTATCTCATCCACACACACTCCCCTCCCTCCATCAGAGGGATAAATACTACAGAGAACAGGTACCAAGCCGCTAGCATCAAACCTTTTATCTCTGCATCACTGGTCGGGCTGGTAGTGACTCAAAGCTGAAAGGAGAATCTAAATCTCACAGGCTTTGCGAGCGAGGGAGCTCAGCCCTGCAGGTGAGGCGCAGCTCCCCACCACGTGCACGGTCCCTTCCTGCCTTTTCAGCAGAGCTGCTGAATGGCAGCCTGGAAGCTCGTTAGGACAGGTTCTAACTCAGGACCCAGGAACAGCAGCACTCACTTGTACGGGGTTCCAAGTGGAGCCTTCCACAGCTGTCCAAGCGGCAGCTGCCATCAGCAACAAACTCAAACACAAGTCAGCACAGATATAAAACTTGAGTTAAGTCTATTTTTTGTGCAATAAAGCTGGAACCAGCTGTAGTGACAAGCCCTAAATGGTCTCTAAATCCTGTCTAAACACAGGTTGCACCTCACAACACAAGCACAGCTAATACCAGCTCTAATAATTACGTTTTTCTTGTTCCTATGTGCCCTATAGTTTGCCAAGACGAATTAAGTTCAAATTCCCTTTATAAGAAGAGTTACGTGGTGTTGCTGGGGAAGAACTGTTCCCAGGTGAAGCAGTGGTTACATTCAGCTTTTAAAAACACGCTCTTTTGTTCTAGCATATTTATAAAAGTACCTGGAGGATGGTTAACACACCCATATTAAACCAATTATTTCCACTTAGTGGCCATTTCCCATCAGTACATTAAATAACCTCCACGTTTAACTCCAGAAGAAGCCAACACCACTTGCCAGGCCACCAAAGCCTTTCTCTCTCTGACAAAAAGTCCACTGACCGAGAATGACAGCTTCAAAGTCTCTAGCTGTTCTCCAGAGTTTGAAATAAAACCTTTCAGATGTTTAAACACTGCAGTATCTCAGCCCGTCAGGGTTTAATGCCCCACACCTCCCTCAGCATTCTTCATGTCTCATGACAACATCCATCCTCTTCTTTACGGCGGTGCTTACGGGCTGCACTCGGCACGAGCCAGCCTGAAACACGGAGGCTGGGGGCTTGCCACCAGAGCGTGGTGGTTCCCAGAAGAGAGCATGTACATACCTTCCACTGCTGCTAATTGCTTTATTGCTGACTGAAACCCCAAATCATACCATGCCAGTAGCAGCAAAGCATGTTGCAAACCTCAGCACTGTGCAGCAGCCTGAAACAAGCACAGACTAACTACATCAGGCACATCGGGAGCAGAGGAAAGAGGGACGGCTCCATCTCACTTCTCCCCACCTTTCCCTCTCTGCAGTAAAAGCCTTGCGGCTTCCTTCAATTCATTCTGCTGTTGACATGCATGACAGAACATGATTTCTCCCCGTCAGTCTTTTTTCTCTCCAACGGTATCCATGGCCAGGGAATATTTGGCCCGGCACAAAACAATAGCTCAGGTAAAAGAAACCGAGAGAAGGTTCAATTTTTCCTTGCCACGGACAACCAAACCAGCCGATGTCGCTTCCGCAGCGTGCACAGACGACGTACAGTAACAAGAAAGAAGTTTGCAGGTCAGAAAGCAAAAGCCCTACCCTCATTTTCTGCCCCAGCACCATTTGTGCTGTAAACACCAACCTGCCCCAAAAGCAGCCTTTTCCCCTGAGCTTTCCAACCCTTGAGTGTGGGCTGATAGCTCACGGAATGATGGCGCGTCACCTCCGAAAGCCACGCTGGGGGAATCAGCAGGGAAGAGCAGTGCACAGGGAGCAGGCCAAGACCTAGATAATCTTCCCAGTTTACTCTCTAGTATTTCAGACAGCTCCTAAAAACCCTGCTGACACCCCTACTCTTTCACAGGACAGCAGATCCCACTTCTCCCACACAGAAAATCAATGCTGCGTCAGAGGTAGCTCTCCCTGGAACAGGCAGTGTTTCTGCAGGCATCTTAGCAGCCCTTCGTGGCTGGATGCTGCTCACCGAGATGCAAAAAAGCTTGAACCCACTTATTCTAATCCCAGATTATGATATGGTACCAGAAACCCCTGTGTCGCCTCACAGGGAGCTGCACCGTCCAGTGGTCTGAGCCCTTTGCAACCTGACGGCAGCAACGCAGAGCCCAGAAATATGTGTTCATAACTACCGCTGAGGAAAAGTCATGTCCTCCTCCAGGGAGAAAGAGTCCAAAAGACGTGATCCTGTCAACGTTGCGATTTTGGGGCTTTACAGATGTCTTCCAAATACCTAAGGAACTCTCTCAAGCTAAGCTACAACCATAAAAGCAGGAGTGAGATTCAGCGTTGAAGATGGGCAGAGGAACCCGTGTCATGGTCTCTGAGGGCTTCTCGGTGACAAGCTCCTCTTGCACCAGTTTCCTCCCCCGTGCAGCGGAAGGTGGGCGCTCCTCACGGCACAAGCCGCAGTGAGGAGCAGCGGTGGGAGAGCAGAGCTCTAGATTAGGGCTGGCGAGTGTCACAGCAGGGGATCCCCATATTCTACAGGGGAATCTGAAAGCAGCATATTTGGCAGATACAAACAAAAAAAACAGACACTATCGTCCCTCTAAGAGTTTACTGTTCAAATTTGGGTTCTCTAAGGACGTACTGAGAGGCAGGAAGAACATCCCCTTTACGCACCATTCGTACGTGATGACCGTCCGTTTTAGCTGATGCCTCTCCCTGACACTGCCCTGTCATGGTCAAAAAAACCTGACAACTCATTTCCACTCAGCCTTAAAAATTCATTTTTTTCCTCCCTCCTGCTACTTTGACTTCTACCTTTGCTCTCCTTCTTTGGAAGGAACACAGAGAAGGTTTTTTCTGGAGTCTTCACCTCTCTTTGCAAAGCCCAAGCACATTGTTCCTCCAGGTCTAAGACCCTGTAGTAGGGAAATCATAGACCACAACACACTTCAGGCCTTCTACATGACAAGGCAAAGGATCAGACTCCTTAGCTCTTCCTCCCTGGCTGCGTCCTCTCTACTGTCTAAAGAGCTTCCAATATTTGCAGACAGCTTTATGATTTTTTTTCCTTAATAGCAGGATACTGCATGCCAGCTATATGCCCCCTCCCAGCCTGATCCACAAACAAAGGAGCGAGCCAGAAAAAACACCATCTCCTCAGAACTGACTGGCGAGCTGCAGGCTGAAAAATCCCTCCCATTTTCTGTCCCTTCCACTCCGAGATATAATATCTCATTAGCAGTGTTGGATATTTACAGGTTGCCATCTATTACAGCAATCATATTTCTTTTCCGTGCTACATCTGCAGCCTGTTGAGACTGCAAACGCTGCGTTCGCACAGCTCTGAAAGACCCAACTGTAATTTTTCACGGCAATATTACTGCAAAGTCTTTTCCCTTTTCCACCTGCAGGC